TACCCGGCGACGGTTTCGCCGCGTGCCCCCCCATGCTGGCGTCCCTGAAGCCCCATCGACGAGTTGGTCTCGCGCTGCAGGTCTGTTTCCATCCCGGCGGCGGTCGACTACCCCGCGTTGCACCGCGTCGGCGGCATGGTTCGAATATCCCGCGGGGTCGCGGAGGTGGCCCACCAGCTCAAGCACCTCCTGCTATCGGTCAACCTTTATGTAGCGGTCTAGACGTCTCGGGCCATCTCCAGCGTGCCCGAGGCGAGGCTTGCTCTTCAGGACCGCCTGAATCGCAGTTTGGGGCTTCGCGCCGCGCGCGGAGGGCGCAACCGCGGCGTCGATTTCTCCCGCGGCAAACGCGTCGCGCCGAAGGTCGGGGGCGACGTGGCTGCGCGCTTGTCTACGCTTGCGACGAGCTCACATCTTCAAGCGCGGGGCTGGGCGCAAGCTCGCCGCTCGCAAAGTTTCGCGATCAGGCCTCGTGCCCAGCATCGCCAACGGCGTCGCGGTCAACGTCTGCGCCGCCTCCGAGCTCGGCGCACTGCGCACCGTCATCTACGCAGCGGCTTCCCCGCGCGTTGCCGGCCGCTCGCGCGCGCCCGCGATGGCGCTGACGTCCTTCCTCGGCCAGGTCTGCAGGGCCACGGCGCTGCCCATCATGTCCGCGCTGCCACGGGGCCCCCTCTCCGCTGCGCGCGCGACCTCTGCGCGCGTCAACTGGGCCGTCTGCAGCGGGGCCGTCTGCGGCAGATGTTCGAACTGTCGCCCCGGGCTGTCAAGAGGTCACTTTGGGGCGCTGTCGAGGCTTAGCAGTGGCGCCACGTCGGCAAGCGTAGAGGGCTGCAGCACCTGGCCGACGGCAGCGCCCTCCAGTCGACCATCCGGCTCGCCAACAGCGGTGTAGTGGCTCGGCGCGGAGTGCATGGGCATCGTGTGCTTCCTCCTGCTGGGCGCGCCCCACGCCGCGCGCCTGCTGGCGCCCGCGCTGCACCCGTCGCCGGCGCTGCCGACGTCGACTTCGAGATTGGCGCCGCCATCGGGCTCGCGGCGCAGGGGCGCGGGCGCCTGTCCTCCGTCATCGCGGGCGCCCAGTGGCCGCAGCAGCGCAAGTGCGATGCTGTTCCTGCGTCCTCCAACGAGCGCCTCCTGCGCGGCTTGTCTGGGACTTCCCTCGTCGCCATGGGGGTTGCGCTGTCTGGCATGGTGGGTTCGTTCGCCCACGGCAGCCCGACGTCCTCTTCAGCCGTGCCGACCTGTGCGAGGTGCGCTGCCTCCTGGAGCTGTCTCTGGCCGACGCCGCGAGGGCTGGCGTTCCCGCCTGGGCGCCCAGAGCTTTGATGGCACGGGCGGCGCCGCGGGCATCTGCTGTCAGGCGAGATTTTCTCGTTTCGCTCACTCCTCCGGCCACGAATGGCCTCGCCGCTTGGGGGCCGCATTGGGGCCTCTTGGGGGCCTCCGAGAGGCAGTTTCGAAGCCTCTCGGGTGCCGTGTTGGGGCGTCTTGGGGCGCCGCGGGGGCGCATCGGGGGCCACCCGGGGCCTTCTGGGGTGCCTCTTCGGACCCTCTTGGGGCTGAGGGCTGGACTCGTCGGTTCCTGGTCCCCGTCTTGGGCCTCCTTCTTGGGGCCTCCTCTGGGCCATCTTGGGTGCCTCTGGGGGTGTCCAGAGGCCGTCTTGGGCCGTCTTGAGGCGGTCCTGGGGGCTTCTTGGGCCGCGTTGGAGCGTTGGGAAGCCGAAGAGACGAGAAACGTCGCACATGCGAAACAAATGCGTTTTCCTAATGGAATCGGTGACGTTTGCTTGTTATGGGTGCCCTCTCGAGACGCTTGTTCGAGGCCTCTTTGGGCGTCTTGGAGGCGCGTGGCGCCGACTGGAGGCTGTCTTGGGCGTCTTGGACCGATCGGTCGGCGATTCGGAGCCCTCGTGGGCCATATTGGGGATGCTTCGGGCCCTCTAGGAGCGTTCCCGGCCGGGGCCCCCAGGGGCCGCCGCGCGCGAGCGAATTATTTATATTGCCAACCTTTTGCCGGAGATCTCGGCGCGACTCTGGCCCGCTGGGGCGGCGAATTTCTCGACGGCTCTGCGTTCGAAGGGCAGCGCGCACAGTGCGCCGGCGTCGGGTGGGCGGCCGTTGCCCTCGAGCCGCGCGCCGGCGCGTTTCTCGCGGGCGACTGGGCCATGCTCCATGGGCCCTTTCATGGCCATCAGCGGCGGCGCGCTCTTCGAGTTGATATCGCTGCTCAGGCTGGCCACCACGCCCGCCGCTGCAGTCGCGGACAATAGCTTCGTCTTCCTCGGCGTCGCCGAGCACGGCCAGGAGCGGACGCGCAGCTGCAACTGCGCCCGGTGCCTTCAGCGGCGCGATGCATGGAGGTTGATCGACGAGCTCGGCGGCGCATGCGACGACGGGCCCACGATCGTCAAAGCCTGTCGCACCAGGCATGGGAGCACATCGCCGCGGGGAAGATCTCATAGAAACACTGGCACGGCAAAGAGCTGGCTGATCAGGCTGCCAGGAGCGCGGCCAGTCACGGCAGGCCCCCCCCCCCCCTCGACATGCGCTGGGCGCTCGTCTTCTCCAGCGCCGCGGTGGAAGGGGTTGTCGCGCGGCTCGCTGCAGCGGGGCCTGCCGCGGAAGGGGCCGACGCCACGCGCCGCGTTAGCAAGGCCAACGAGCCGGCCCCGCGAGCCCCTCGAGCTGGCTGCTGCCGCGTTTTTTTTTCGCTGTGATATGCGGAGAGATGTCGGCGCGTCGAGCGCCGCGGCGACTGCTTGGGCGCCGTCGTCGCCGCGGCCGCCGACGCCGGCGCCGAGTTGCGCAGGCGCGGTTTCGTGCCCCATCGCCTCGCTCAGGTCCGCCCCGTCGTCGGCAGCCACCTGGCGCGTGACGTGCCGGCGGTGGTGTGCTAGAGTTGTGGCGCTACCGAAGTTGCCGGGGCATGTGGCTTCCAAGGTGAACGCGGTGCCCCTGGACCTCGCGGCGCACTCGCTCTGGCTTACCTCGCCGAGCAGCGCGCCCCGTCCATCGCCCGCGAGGTCGCCGTCGAGCTGGAGCTGCTAGAGGACGCAGCTGCCGCCCCTGCCGCTGCTGGGTCGGCCACACCTGTTGCGCGAGGAGTGCCGGGGCTGTGCGGGGCCAGCTGTTTTCGCTCAGTGAGGCAGGGAAGTCTCCCGTGGCCTCCCCTGGCGAGATGGATGCGACCTCGAGGACTGCGGCGGCCGATTGCAGCAGGTCGGCCCAGCGGCGACACCTCGGTCGGCGCCGAAAGCTCTTCCTGGCGCGGGGCTGACGCGCCCTTTTTTGCCCGGGGCCGCTGTTCGAGCCCCATGCGAAGGCGCGGCCCGCTGCTGCGGCGATGACATCGCGCTCAGCGCCGACAGCGCCAGCGGCGCTGGCGCGAGGAAGCCGCGCCACTCCTTCGCTTCCAACGTCGCCTACCTTCTTGCCGCAGCGAGGGGTGGAGGAGGAAACGATCGCCATGAGCGGCCTGCGGCCTGCCCCCCCTACTACCTCCCCTTCCCATGCGTCGCGGATGGGGGCCCGATGGCCCTCCCTACCCAGGGGCGTGCGGATTCGCCATCGGGCGCCTGTCGCCGATCTACTGGCGATGTCTCGACGATTCGGGGTCGATGCTCCTGAGCCGGTGCCCGCCTGACGCTCCCTTATCAGAGGGGCGGGGCGAAGCTGAGGTCGAAGAGGAAACGAGAGCATACAGTGGATACCCATGCCAAGAAACACCCTGCTTGCCTCCAGGGTGCCCTGGGCTTCTTGGGTTTCCATGGTTCTGGCATGGAAAGCGTAACGCTTCCACATCCAAAATCGACGGAGATCCTGGGGTCCTAAGGTTGGGTTTCTTGTGGAAGGTTTTTTGCGGTCGGGTCCCCATTGTAATCACGTTTGTTTTTAGGTCCGCGCGAATTTCCTGGATCGGCATCAGCGCACCACGGGCGGCGGCGGAGGCGCCGCCAGAGGGGGGGTGGGCAAGCGGCGATCAAAAAAATACGCGCGGCCCTCCAAAGTTCATTGTTTATGCAGTTTCTCTTGTTCTGCATTGAAGCTGGAAAAGGTGGCTGGGGCCAGACTTTCCTCTCTTTCCAGCCCTGGCCAATTCTCTTTTTGTTTCCAGCCCTGGCGTCTGCATCCCTGCTGTTTCGGGCTCGCTTCGCCCACTGCCAGTTTTCCCAGCCATGGCCTCTTTCATCTTCCCTGATGTTTTCCAACTTCTTCCATTCTGTCCAGCTTCCCTGTGAGGTCGCGATCCCCCCCCCTGGTGCGCTGGCGTCCCCCGGCCGTTCCCCCTTCGGGGGCGGGGAACGGCGCGGAGGGAGGGAGGCCCAGGCCTGCCGAGGCCTTGGTTCGCTCCAGGCGGGGTCTCCGGGGCTGCGGGCCCCTCGCCCCGGGCCAGACGCTCCTCCCGAGCCGTTGCCGGTCCTTGGGCCCAGCGAGGGCCCCCAAGAGGCCGAGCATGGCGAGCATCTTCCGTCTTGACTGCTCAGTTCCAGTCGGCACGAACGAAATGGGTATGGAAAGAATGGGTATAATGCCCAACAGTAGTGCCTGTCCATTTTGAACCGGACTCGCTGTCCGCGCCGCCGCGGCTGTGTCCGCTTGAGACAGAAGGCCGCTTGCCCAACAGCGGCCGTTGTTGGTTTGGGACAGCATTTGTTGTTGGGCATTGTACCCATTTTTTCCGTACCCATTTCGGGCGTCCAAGTCTAGGCCTCCTCGACGGGGTCCGAGCAGATGGGGTCGGAGGATCGCGCCGCCTTGCGGATGCATCGCCGATGCGGTTCGATGTGGAGCCCGAGTGGCTTCACGTTGATGTCGCCGATGCATCGCCCACGTCGAGGATGCATCGCCGGTGCATCGTCGACGCATCGCCGATACATCGCCGATGCATCGGCGATGCATCGGCGATGCGGCGCGATCCTCCGACCTCATCTACTCCGACCCCATCCAGGAGGCCTCCATCAATACGTCGGAGGTCTGGGAGCTGAGCAGCACCGCAGGACCACGCGAACCAGGTGCGCTTCCTCTTCAACAAGCTCGACCGCCAGAGATCTGGCCTCATCCCGGTGTCGGAGCCGCTGGCTCAGGGGGTCCAGTTCGATCCAGTCCGATACATCGGTCCAGTCCAATTTGATTCCTCAGACCTCCATCGCCTTGAAAAATTCAATAGGGATGTTTTCCTTAGTTTTCGAGCTTGGCGGGACGCTCACCGGGCCAGAGGGCCGTCAAGAAACGTTCGGAATGAAACATTTGCCCCAGGAACAGGGTCGGGACTTCGGGGACCCCGCATGGAAACAAAAGCAGGACATCGGTTACGCAATTCCGTTGTGCCGACGATCCAATGGGGCTCGATGTTCGTCTGGCGCCGTTGTGCATCTTGGCGCGGCCGATCCGCCCCACATTCGATCTCGGCTCTGTGCCAATGGGCAGGGGAATCAGAGATCACCGCCGCCGAGAACCCATCGGTGTGTGGGGAGCGGCCCCTGGGCAGTGGCACGCGTGGGCGTCGTCCAGTACTGGGTGACGCTCGGGCGCGTCACCGCCCAGGACTCGGCCACCGCCCACCCCCCGACGAGTCTCGGTGCCGTTGGTCTCTGCTTCTCCCTTGAGATGCTGCGCAACTGGAGGGCGCGAGGGCGTGACGAGGATCGCGCGTCGCGGAGCGCGATTTTTGTATCCACGGGAATGATTGTGGCTCAATTTCCACAACAGGCGGGGAGGCCGACCTCTTACTATCCCCTCCCAAGTTCTTATCGTAGCTCTGATCCTCATCTCATGCATAGCACCATGAATCATCCTCATTGCGAAGGCCTTACGACTGGTGCCGCCGACCCTGAAGGGAGACGACGACGACGACGACGACGACGCGGCGGCGGCGGCGGCGGCAACGACGACGACGCTGACGTAGGCCGGAGTCCTCAGCAATGGTTCTTGGGGTATCTTTCGAAGTCTCTCGGGGGCCTTTGGGGAGGAATTTTGGGGCCTCTTGGGAGCCTCTTGGGAGCCTCTTCGGGCTTCCTGGGGACCTCTTGTGGGCCTCTTTGGGCCTCTGGGGAACCTCTTGGGGCCTCCTGGGAGCCTCTTGGGGCCGAAGGGTCGAAATATCCGTTCGGGTCCCCCGTCTATGCACGCTCTTGGAGCCGTCGTGGGGGCATTTGGGGCCTTGTTGGATGAGTCTTGGGCTGTTTTCGCCGTTTTGGAGCGGCGGGAAGTGGAAACGGTGACAAACCTTTCAGAAACCAATGATCAATTCATGAGTTTGGCATCTTTGGGCCCTCTCGGGAGTAATCTCGGAAGCGTCGTGGGGCGTCCTGGAGACCTCCTGGGCAGTCTGGAGGGCGTGAAGGCGTTTTGGACCGATCGTTTGGCGATTGGTGACCCTCTTGGGGCACTCTTGGCCTGTCTTGGTATACTTTCTGAGGCCCCAGGGCCCCCAGAGGGGGAACACGTGTCTGGGTGGCGACCCCCCCCGGGACACCCCCAGGACACCCCCAGGACCGCCTTGCAGGACCCCCCCACGACCTCCCAGGGCCCCCCCCCTGGCTGGGGGATCCTTATTATCATCCGTGTGAGGATGTCTCAGAAGGAACGCACAGCTTCAATCTTGAAGACCGACCTTGAAGATCGATCCAGACATCCTAACATCAATATCACCGGGAACAGTTTGATTCTCCGCCTTGGACCCCGAATTTTGTTATCCCCCAGGTTTTCCCTCTCCGGCATAGGGTTTCGAACGAACGACAAGCTGCATCGACGTGTTTTCGTCGCCCGGCCGTCTGGGGCCGTCTGGCTCGATTTGCTCCTCTACACTGGCTGCGGGTCGGTTCGTTCGCCGACGCCCGCCTCCGAGGCTCCCGAACGCCGTCCTCGTTTTCGAGGGCGCTCTCGGCGACCCGGACCTGGTGGCGGGGGCCCTGGCGCAGCCGACGTTGCTAGTCGTCGTTTGCGTCGGTCGTTGTCCTCTCCGCCTCCTCCCCGCTCTCCTCCCTCCCTCCTCTCCTCCCTCCGTCTCCTCCCTCCCTCCCTCCTTTTCCGCATCCCTGTCTTCTCCTCCCTCCCATTCCCTCAAGCGGCACACGGCGGAGATCCTGAACAATGGCAAGTCGATGGGCGAGCTGTGCAGGCAGTGAATGTGGGTGCTGTGCTGCGAATGCCGCTATGCCAGGGGACAGCCTACCATTCTACATACCCCAGAGAATTCTATCCTCAGGATCTGATGCGACAGACTGTGAACAGCTTTCGTCTTCAGTATTTGCTGCTGGTCTTGGGCGCTCTGCAGTGCCATCTTCTAGTGTTGATGGCTGTGGGTAGCTCTCTTCAGTGTCTCCTGATGGCCTGGAGGCTTGTCAGTGATGTATGCTGGTGATTGTGAGCAGTCCACCTTCTCTTCAGTACCTTCTGATGGTCATGGGAATTCTGCAGTCAGGCCCGCGTGAATGATAGTGAGCATCTTTCTTCAGTATCGTCTGCTGTTACCGCACCAGAAATCCATGTTATTTTGAAAGGGGCTTGGAACTCACATCACACCTTTCGCCGCACCCGAAGACCATGATACTTCAATGGGGCGTAGGAATAACATCGCGCAGTCTGCATCTGCGTCAGCATTCACGCCACTATGTACGGCTGGTGCCCTTCGGAGTTCGTGACGTGGTATCTCCCATAGGCATTATGAATAATCAGCTCGGCCTTCTTCGGTCTGGACGCAAGATGTGACGAAGGACCAGGAACAGCTCCATCGGGGTCGTCTGTAGCTGCGTCCCCTTCTCCACCCATGGTCCGTGCTGTGAGGCCCTCGTAGTAAGCATCCTGAGACACTCCAGCAGAGCGTCCGCCTTCAACAGCTCCTGCGGCGCGGAGTTGTCAGAGACACCGCGTGGGAGTGGGAGCTGATACATTTGTGGTTCGAAGCGGGTGGGACGGGGACTGCGGGGCCGGGCGGAAATTGGTGGTTGGAATCGGGTGGGACGGAGACGGCGGGGCTGGGCGGGTGGGAGATAAGATTGTTGCCGCCGCTGCTGATCACGAAGAGGGCTGGGCCCCGAGGTCCAAGGTGGCTCGCGCGAGGTCTCGCTCGCAGCAGCACTCGAGGCAGAGGAATTTGCAGGCGCAAGTAGCAGGTGTGACTCGGCCCCGCAGGCACCCCGCCTGGCCCCGCCGTCTCCGCGGGCCCCCCGCCCGGCCGTCCATGTTTTGGGGCCCGCCTTCGGGGCCAGTGGTGGCATGATTCCCTGCAGCTGCGGGCCCCCATGAATGTTCGGATGTGCGGGTTAGAGCATACGCAGGGGCTACAGAATAGCCGCGTTTGAAGCCCTCCAGTTTTGCGTTCCTCTGTCTGATTTTGTAGTCCCCGGCGTTTCTTGGTCTTGATCTTGGTCCCTCTCATCCCTTCTCTCTCTTTACCTCTCCTCCTCCCTCCTCCGCCTCCCTCTCCTTTTGCTACCTCTCTCTCACTCTCTCCCCTCTCTATCCCTCTCCTCCTTTCTCCTCCTCGTCCCCCCCGAGGGGGAGGCGGCGCCCGATGCATCCTCTATTACCGCTGGATCTCACAGACCCCTGGTTTCGGCCCAGTCCGATGCTGTCCTGGTCGGGAGGGGCTCGTGGCCGAGGCTCGCCATGCCCAGACACGCCCGTTCGCTCCTCGCCCAGCCCTCCCTGTGGGGAAGGGGGAGACGCGGGAAGCAGAACGGGCTCACACCCATGTCATCCTCTTGGAAGGTGAGGGTGGGAATCAATCAACCGATGGATCAACGAATGACTGCTGATGACGTGTCTGTCAGCACGGCTCGGTGCTATCGTATGAGCACCATCTGGGGCTTGCCACTGGCCAGCGCTCGCTGGGCTGCATCCCCCCCAGAAATCAGACGATGTGATCTCTTCCATCCGCGGCCCCAGTCCCAGCCCCTCCCAGGAGTACTCGTTCGCCCCGTATCCGTTCTTGATGGCCCCAAGGGGCCCGGGGGCAAGCCCCAGAGCCGAGATCGTGTAGAAGCGCTGGCATCGGAAAACCGTGCGCTCCCCATTTCTCGGTGGCCCCCCAAACTGATGATGTGACCACATCATGTCGCGAGTCAGTGTGGATTCGGGGGCGGGTCGATCTGGGACTCGAGTCGTTCTGCAAGGATGTCTCGGGCGACTGGGACCGCCGCGGGTGCGGTAAGGTCCTTCGGGGTTCCGAGGTCACGGCACGGTTTGTCACCGCACCCTTGCGGGACCCCAAATCTTTGTCCCTTCCCTTCCCCCTTTCTCCCCGCCCCCTGCCTTCTGTGACCCGTCCCTCGCCTGCCGTGAGGGCTGCGCGCGGGGCGCGGGGCGCGAGCGTGACGGCACTGCCGTGAGCGGCTTGAATGAGGAACATTTACTCTTCAAAAGGGGCTCGCTCGTGCCTTTAGGTTTGCATGCGTTGTTTATGGGTCCTTATGCGTTATTTATTGTATATCGTTCCTTTTGCGTTATTCCTTGGGAAACAGAGTTTCGTTCCTTATGTATCGTTCCCTTAGGTCAGGCCGATGACTGTAGCGCTGAGCCAAAATCGCTGGGATTAACACATCTCGCCGTCGGAGATTTGGCCATGCCGTCCTGGTTCGCCCACCCTGTCCTTCCGAGACCTCCCCGGGCCTCCCACGATTCCGAGTCGATTCGCTCTGTTTCGGTTCGATGTGTTCGCGTCGGTCGGCGCCAGCTTGAGCCAGGCGCGGCGATCCGTGTTCGATTCGATTCGGGACGATTCCCTAGCGATCGGATCCGTTTCCGATCCAATCCGATTTCGCGGTTCGGTCCAGCTCAGGCGTGCCTCAACCTTCGGAGCTTTCCATGCGGCCAGCGCCCGCCGCGCCATTGGTCGCAGCAGCCCCCCGCTTGGCCGCGGCGGTCGCGGGGGCGAGTCCGCGGTAAGGTTCTTGTATGTTGGAGCTAGAGGCACAAGGCAGAGGAGGGGTGTAGATTGCCCATGTGTCGTCCCTCTTGTCGCCTTGCCTCTGCGTTCGTGTCCTCATCGCCGTGGATCACCGAGCCTTGCCATCGCCAGGGATGCTTCGACCAGCGTCAAGCGTCGCTCGGCGCGCGAGCCCCACCCCGCCACCCCGTCCTGGCCCGCCTACCCCCTCTTGGGCTGGGCCAATATGCGCCGGCGTCCAACTGTGAGCACTCTCCTCAAAAAGTGCACAACAAGTATATTATCACCTCACCCCCACCTGCCTCCCCCCTTTGTAGGGAGGGGGGCCACGTGGGGTGGGTGTGTGTTTTCGTTCCCCAGGTTTCCGCTTGCGTTCGGCCCCCCGCGAGCCCTTGCGCCCTTGCACATCTTTCTCGCTCGAGTAATGTGCCGCAGGTCGCAGGGGTCCTGTGGCTCTGGAAGTGTTGTCTCACGATGTGCTGATGTTGCGGCCTGGACAGGTTCATGGGCAGGTGTTCGAGGGAGGGGAACCACGGCTCCAATGTCTTAGCCGAATTCGGGGCGGAGGTTGTTCCTCGGTTTGGGTGTCCAGGGGGGGGTTGAGGGGGGAGGGGACTTGTCCAGGGGGGCACATGGTAGGGCGTGGAGGAAGGAGGCTCCAAAGATGGTGCTCATTGGGGGGCTATTTCTGTTCGCTGGGGGCTGCTCCAGTCGGTCCCTGAGAGGGCCTCCAGAGGCTCCTGTTTGGTTGCAACTCCTGGCAGGTCAAGTTCAGCATCGGCGCTGGTATATCCGTTGTGGAACAGCGGTCCAATCTGGAATCATCCCGCTGAATAGGGCTTACTCTTGGGCTCAGGCCAGGCCAATTTGGCGGAGTGGCGTCTGAATCGGGCTTGCCGTGGCCCTCAATCCTTCCTTCGCAGGCCTCCCAGGAGGGGGTCCCTGGGGTTGCTGAGGGGGCCTCTGGAGGCTTCTGAGGGGCCCTCTCGCGGCGCGGGACCCTCTCGAGGCTGGAGCAGACGTCTCGGGTATAGCCAGGACCCCAGGTAAGGGGACCCAGTTAGTGGTAGGGCCCCGGAGCCCCTAAATTGGCCAGATCACTAAACCAGGTCTGCCGTAGCTGGTGCTTTTTCGGGTGACGGCAATTCCGGTTAGTGGCACGGGGCGGGGGGGCGTCCCCCAGTACACATCCCTAAACCAGGTCCCGCTAAACCCAGCTCAGCTCTGCCATCGCCCCAACGTCGAGCACGTCCTCCCCCCAGCTGCAGCAGCCCCGACTCGGCGCGGCCGCGGCGCGCCCAGCCGAGGCCACGGCCAGGGCGCAGGCCAAACTGCCGGAGACTGGCTTCGTCGACCGGCCCGGCTTCGAGGACCCCGCCCAAGGGGGGCGGGCAGGCACCGCGCGGGCCGAGCGAAAGGGGGGGATAGGGAAAGGGGGGGGGGGCGAAATCTGCAGCATGCAGCTGGTTTCGGCCCCGCCGCCGGGCCCATTCCTCGAAGCATGGGCGCACCCCGGCGCGGGGAGGCGCTGGGAAAGTCAGCCACGTGAGCTGATTCTCTGCCCTGCCCTCTGCTGTCCCCCCCTTTCGTGCCCCCCGAGCCGCGCTGCGACGAGGCGCTCCGTGCGCGGCCAGAAACCTCCCGGGTCCCTCCCCACGGCTGGATTCGCCTCGAAGTTCTCCTCCTCCTCCTCCTCCTCCTCCTCCTCCTCCTCTTCCTCCTCCTCCCCTGTGATGCTGTCGTCCCGATGGACGGGCCCTGAGCGTTGCCAGGCGCAGGTCCGAGCGGACCGGCGCCCGCACGCAGGCCGAACTGTTGCCTCGCCCGCCTTGGGCACCGCGAGGCGTGGAGTCGCCGCCACTGTCAGGCGTCCCTGCAGGTTCGAGCGGCGGGATGTCCCACAGTCAAGCCGCAGGGGCTCTGGTTGTCGAGCCGTCCCTTGCGTCTCGGTCGTGGAGCCTGTTCGTGGCCGGGGCTCGCCACGGCCAGAAAAGCCCGTTCGTTCCGTGGTGAGCGTTCCCGATGGTCGCGCGATGAGTTGCTACCTCGTTCCTTTGAACGCTGCCAGGCGTGAAACCGTCGCCACATGGACGCGTTCCTTGGAGGGTCCAGCGGGATGACCTGCTACGCAGGCCAGACTGTTGCCTCGCCCTTTCTGTGCGCTGCGGGGCGTGCAACTGCTGCCGCACTGAGGAGTTCCTTCTGGGCCGATCGGGGTGGCGCCCCACGCAAACCGAGCTAACATATCTGGCCCTCTGCACAGCCAGACGCGCAACCGCCGCCACTTTCGGGTGTCCCTGCGGGGTGGAGCGGAGTGTGCGACTTGCACCTGTCGGCGGCGCGCCCAAGGGGCAAGACAGAGGGGGCCGGCCCTTACAGAAGGCTCATAATGCCCTCTGCCTCCTGAGAAGCTTCCTGAGACCTCTCAGAAAGCCACAAGGCTTCGAGAAGCTTCTTCGCCTTCCCAGAAGGTCTGCCCCTTCTCACTCCCACTCTCGGCGCGTCGCCCAACCTACACGGAGGGTAATGGAGGAGAAGCGGCGCCACAGCGCGCCCACGCGCTTCGTCGCTGCACACCGCGCGCGCTCGCCCGCCAGCGCTGGCCCGTGCACGCCGCTAGCGCACACGCGCGGGCCCTCGATATGAGTGCACCGCGGTTAGCGTGTCTAGTTTCGCCGCCGCGCGCCTGCTTCGGGCCACGGTGGGGGCCGCAGGGGCCGCCAATCAGAGTATGTAGGAGAAGGTACCGATGCCAAAGAGAAGATACCGATGCCGCTGCTCATCCCCGACACTCTGGTCAGATCACACCCTGGCATCGGTACTCGTACGTGCCCCGAGTCAAGAGTCGGCGGTGGCACGTCTGTGCAACGGGTCTTGGCGTGAAGCGTCAAGGGAGGAAAGGCCACCCCGACTTGATGTTTACAAAACGACTCTGGGCGTTTACTAAACAGCCCTGCTCTGCTCGATCCCTTCCTCGGGTGCGTTTACTAAACGGCTGGCTCCGTTCGTCGAGATTGCTCATTTTGAGGGTAAATGCTCTGCTCTCTCAGGCGGGCTCCCAGCAGTTCCCCAAGCCTTTCCCGACAGACCCGGCCTCAGTCCTGCCGGGCCCCGCCGCTAAAAGGGTGCAGGGAGGGCCCGGCTCAAGCATGACGGACCATGCTGCGGGTTCGCCGGTGCACAGTGCCAGCGAAGCGTCCGCCGCACGGTCGATGGCGTTTCCGCGCGCTCGTTGCGGCGGCGCGCCACGGACTTAGTGAGTGAGTGAGTGAGTGAGTGAGTGAGTGAGTGAGTGAGTGAGTGAGTGAGAGAAGCCCATGGACAGGTAGGCTTGAGGAGGCCGAGCCGCCCAGTAGCCCGACGATTGCATTTACCCATGTCATCGGGTTTGCGCAGCGGTTCTCTCGACTGCCCCGCCCCATGGTGCTGGCGTTCCTCTCGCGAGAAAGAGAGAGGGAGCGAGCCAGGGAGGGCTGAGAAGGGGGGAGGCTCATGGCGGGAAGCATGGAGGGCTGGAGACGGGGAGGGCCAGGGAGGATTTGGGAGGGCTTGGGATGCCCACCCGCCTGGACCAGACGCCCGCCCAGAGCAGGACCCTCGCGGCCCCGCCTCTGCCAGGGGGGCCCCGCAAGTCCCGAGCATTTTCTTTGGGTGGAGGGCATGGGATGAGATCTGAAATGCCGTCTCGATGAATTTTCGAGGCTTGAATCTGCACAAGGCGAATCACAAGACGGATTTATTTTCGAGGTGCAAGAGCCCATATGGATTTCACCTTGTGCCCTTCACCCTGAGCCCTCCACCCTGAGAAAAGTACCCCAAAGTCGGGCCAGCCTCTCGAGCCACGGCCCGGGCCGCCCCAGAGAGACGGGCAACGACATGCGTGCCAGCAGGACAGCGACGTGCCGTGGTTCGGCCCTCGCGAGTCTGCCCCTCCCCTGCCCCGCGTCGGCGCTATCCCTCCTCCCCCTGCTCCTCCTCCTCCTCCGTAGCCATTTTGGCTCAAGTTGCCATACGTCTTAGCATAATAATGTGCCTTTTAAGGGTATCATCTCTGTTTTCGGCAGTTGCACCTCTCGATAACTCTTCTGGAAAGTTGTAGCACCGAATAATCGGACTTGCGACTATGAAATCGAGTACTTTATGGTTGATAAGTACGGTATTTTGTTCGAGTAAGTCAGCGATTCTGGATACAAAAGTATACTGCTGGTCGTGTAAAAGTTACAGCTTCCTCTGTCTGTCCTCTCCTCCAAATGATCATCCTTGTAGCCTTCTGGCATTGTAAGAGACCTCTCGGGGCCATACTGGAGCCTTCTTGGGACCACTTTGGAGTCTTCTCACGAGGCCCTCATGAAGGCAAGACTGCTAGGAGGTGGAGAATGATAGAGGAGAGGAGGGGGAAGGGAGAGGAGGGAGTGAGGAAGGGAGGAAAGGCCAAGAGGGGTGCGAGGACGTGACACGTGACAAGGAGAAACCTGGAGCCAGGATGAGGTAGAGCGATAGGGAATAATGGTTCAGAATGTGAGGAGGGCAAGGGAGGGAGGGATGAAGCCAGGAGGGCCCCTCCCGGCAGGAGGCAAGCGGGAGAGAGCAGAAGGAACAGCTCCCCTCATTCCCCTCCCCTAGCCATTTTGGCTTCCAGGGGATCGCCCACCCAGATGGGCGATCTCAGAGAGCTGATTGCTCTCGAGCGGGGCCCAGGCTGGCCGGGATAACCTCTTCCTTCCTGCTTCCTGCTCCTCCTCCTCCTCCTGGTCCTGGTTCCTGGTCCATTCCATTTCTTCTGAGTTCTTTTGTCTGTCTCCTGTCTGCTGTCTCCTGAGACTCCTCCTCCTCCTCCTCCTCCTCGTCCTCGTTCTCCTCCTCCTCCTCCGCCTACTTATTTGCCCATTATCTAATTATCTCATTGTCATCCTTCTCCTTCTCCTCCTCCTCCTCGTCCTCGTCCTCCTCCCCCTCATCTTCCTCCTCCTCCTCCTCTTCCTCCTCCTCAGGGCGGGGACCCCCATTTGCCGATTTGTAGGGCGACCAGATCTGCACATATCCACTGCCCCTGGCCATGCCCATTTCTGGGCCCAGGAGCGGTGTATATCTGTATGTGTGTGTATATATATATATATATATATATATATGCGATATGCGCCCGCCTGGCGTGGCCAGGGAGGCACGCCACGCACCGCTCCTGGGCCTGCCTATAGCCCATAGCCAGGGGCAGTGGATATGTATAGATCTCGTCGCCCAAATCTCGGCAGCGGCCCGCTGCTAGGCAGCGCCCCCTATGGCGGCGGCGGCGGTGTTCCTGGCCCTGGCGGCGGCGGCGGCGATCGGGCTCGAGTGGCTCGAGCTGTTCGCGTCGCTCTCCGGAAGCGGTCTGAGGCCGCGAGGGGGGCCGCGAGGGAGGAGGGGCCCTCCTCATCGGTCCCGGTCCGGGGTGGCTTGAAATTGTTGGGGGATTTGGGGATTTGGGATTTGGGATTTGGGGTTGGGCCTGTTCGGGCTGGCAGCCTTCCTGGAAGCTGGGGCCTATCAGGCCCCTCGGTGGGTCTCCAGGGGTCCCGGGTCGAAGGGGGGAATCCTGAGTGAAACCCTCAATTTGAAGTCACCCAGAGAGGTGAGTGAATATAGCTTCTACCCCTTTGAGCTCGTCAACGATGTTACGTTTGTTTCAGCTCGTAAATCCACCCAAGATTCGGCCCTGCAAGACAAATTCGGGCTCACTCCGTATTCGTTGCACCTCGTGTTGGATTCGACGATTTGGAAATATGTAACCTTTCGGGCCGAAGCTCTCCGAAAAGCTCTCGCTTCCGCGCAGCCTGGTAAAATGTTCATCACGAGTCTCAGGCGTAGACAACAAAATCCACCCGCCGTTCCCCTGGCCCCCACTTGCTCCACGCCCCCATCCTCGCGGAATCCTCACCCTGGCCCGGCCAGGCCCCCATCAGTGGCGAGGGAGTGGGCACGAGACGAGACAAATTATTTGACGTAACCACCCTGCACTCTCATCTACCATTTGCCGCAAATGATAGATGAGAGGGCAGGGCGGTTACGGCAAGGGCCTTACGGGCGAGGAGGGAGGGAGGAGACTTCTGGTCCAGAAGTCCCCTCCCTCCTCCCTCCAGAAGTTCAGAAGTTCTGGACTTCTGGAGGGAGGATAGGATAGGCTGGGCTAGGGGCCGGGGGCAAAGGCAAGGGGGCAAGGGGCCAGGGAGATGATTTTGCCAGCCCCCCCCGAAGGGTGAAGTGGGACGAGACTCAACAGCGTCTTCATTGTAATGCGAGCGCCCCTGGAGATGCACAACTGTCTACTGTGCAGACGGTACATGCTATGACAATGGCAGCATGGATAAATACGAACATGATGGGGTCAGCTCAG